GGGGGCCCAGACTGATTGGGGGCCCAAAAATCCTGGCTAAATTATTTAAAAAAAAAAATTTTTTTAAATAAATTAGGTGGAGGTCAAGTTATCTTTCTTCTACAGTTACAAACAAACACGATAGTCGTCAAACGTCTTTGAGAAAAATGCACAGACTATAGCTCGAGAGACCGCCAGACATATAGACAACTTCTTAGACGTAGCCTACCGTTCTTTTTTGTGGCGTCGATTAGGAGAACAAAAAAGCATTGTTATATTGTTTACATTATTAAAATACAAATCTATGATTGTGTGTTTAAACTACTGGCCTGAATTCTACAAAAAATATAATTATTTATTTCGATCCCATACATTTATAATTGCGTTAATTTTTACTTTAACAACTGTATCAATAAACTTGTAAAAGTTTAAGTTATCTCCCTTCAGCAAAGCATCTGAAATTTGACTGTGCCGACACGCTTTGAAATCGGGCTGGGGAAATGTTGCGGCGACTATCCTGGTCTTCTAGACGACCGGAAACAGTCGACACTATTGATGTAGATGTTTATCGGCGCTTTCTTGTCCCCTTCCAATGAACCTTCCCAACTCTCTCCCCTCCCCCCTCTCACCCCTACCCCTCACCTCTACCCCTCACCACACCCTTACTCTTACAATAAGATGTAATGCATAGATTAACGAACTACTGAACTGTAAACTGACCACTTCTGCACATTTTGTTAAAGACACTAGTCAGTAGTTGTTCATTTACCTGATGAACAGGGGCGGAATTACAGTCCGGCCAGACCCCGCAATGCGCAGGAGGGGGGGGGGGGGGCAGGCCGTTTAGGGGCCCACGGCTGACCAAAATTAATATTTTTTAAAATTTTGAATTTAATTTTCGTGCATTTTTGCCTTAATATTTGGTTTGTAAAAGAAAAACACTGTAGCTGCGGTACGATTATCTTTATTTTACAGTCACTATACCACGCTCTTCCGCAAAAGATAAAATCCATTACACAAACTACAGTGTAAAATATAGGCAGCTCTTCAAATTTGAATGACTTATTTGACTCGTTGCCCCCCCCCTCCCCCTTTGATAGCTAAATAGAGGACACGTAACTGTTTGACCGATCCTCCAAAGTGTACTGTGGCGGATGGGGCAGGGGATGGGGACCAAAAAGGGGGTTCAAAAATTGTCGACAATTTTTTTTACATATTTAAAACAGTTATTTATAGTTGTATTTTTAAACCATCGTCAAGGCCGAGTTCTATTTCCCTACAATCAAACACACGCTGTCGCCGGCAAAGTTCTTTTTAAAAAAACAAAGTTCATAGCACGAAAAGCCGCTACATATGAAGTGGGCTTTCATGATGCGCGGTTCTTCTTTGCGGCATTGATAAGGGACCCGAAATCCATTGTACATTTTTCAATGTTAATATGTGTTTGTGATAGTGGTTGAATTTGTATCCTGTACTATCTTGTATCCTACAAATAATAAAAAAATAATATAATACTAGAAACTTCAGTTTTATATACGTTTACTTGTTTTTGCTTTTACAAGAAATATCATAGTAAACTTTTAAGGCCTATACTTGGAATTATCTCCCCTGAGTAAGTTTTCCAATGGGCGATGCTGACGTACATAGATCAAGGCGTTTTGTTGTCTCTTTCAAGTTTTTTTCCCGAGCCGACCCCTATCCCATCCCTCTTTCTCAACCTCACAAGTATCGAGGAGATAAATGTATCGTTTATGAACTACTTCCTAACCGTACGATTCACCACTTCAGCACATTTTGTCAGACACTAGACAGCACTAGATCTAGTCAACAGATATTAATTTACTTTCATAGTATTAGGCACATCTAATTCACAAAACAGGGCAGGTAAGATTATTTTTTATATAATTTAGAAATTAATTAGAACGTTTAGAATTAATTGAACATTATTAATAGTCAATTACTATTTGTAAATGACGTCATTGAGGTGGGGGTGTGTGAGGGTCTGGCTTTTTGTTAGTCCCCCCCCCCCCTCCCCTAAATCAGAAGGTTATCCAACGCGTGACCTGGCCACATTCAGTTGTACATGTGAAAAACATTTTTCTGTCTATTATGCATTACTGCATCATTCAACCAATCGCCATGAAAACTTGGGAAGCTGTTGAGTACAGCCCCGCAAAGGTTTCTGTCATAAACCTAACATTTGTACATATTGGAGTGGGGACTCCTAACGGAAATATGTGATTTAGCGCCCCGTGATCCTGCATAAGCGGATGTGGTTACTACTTGAATACAACCGGCGTCAGTGTCATCCAGAGCGCATCACATATGAGCAGGTTGGCCCCCACAAACAGTCGTTTAAAAGTTCCCACAACACTAGGAATAAGTCTCGCTACAACACTCGATGACTAAATTTAATTAGGTGTCGCACCAATGTTTCTTCCAGGATAGACTGTTTTCGGGGGAGGGGAGGGGGGGGGGAGCTCTGCCGGAAGAAACAATGTGTTGCACCCATCACCCGGGCAGTAATGTAACCGGTAGCTCCAAGAGCCCCGTGACTCCCCTTACACCTGGGCCGTCGCCGAGGGACTTACAGCATGCCTTGGCGTGTCTAGTTGGTAGTGTGGACAAACCCGCGCCCTAAGATCCAAGAAATGAACTGCCGACATTGTTAACATTTAATTCAACTTCTGGAAAACAGGGCACACGGTTGATAACGTTTTGATGAAAGCCTCAAAAATCGGCGTCAGTTTGGTGTGTTGGACTAGATTTAGAGAGTCCGTGCTTCTCACTTGGTAAACTGAAAGGGGCCAGCTCGTGTGTTGGAAAACCTCTGATTTATTCGTGTACCAGATGGAAATTTAAAAAAAAAAATAGAGCGACCCTTGTTTTCCATATATATATATATATATATATATATATATATATATATATATATATATATATATATATATATATATATATATATAGGGGCCCAAAAAAAATTCTGCGGGGGGGGGGCCTTTTTTTTCTAGTTCCGCCACTGGTTGTATTGCTTTTTCTAATGTTAGATCTGACTCGAGCAGCAATTTTCTTTGAATATCATGGCTGTTTACACCTGTCACAAACTTTTCACATAGTCTGTCAGACAGCGTATCGCCGAATTCACAAAATTCACTTAGATGACGTAAAGCAGCAACATATTCTGATATTGACTCGTTTGGTTGACGAGTCCTACCGTCAAATCTAGCTCGACATAGAAACTTTGATGGGGTAGGCGCATGGTGGTCTGTTAGCAATTTGCTCAGCTCGTTAAAGCTCTTGGTAGTTAGACTAGCTGGTGCGCATAAGTCCTTTAGTAGCCTAAATTGTTGAGGCCCTATGACTGTTAACAAAACAGCTCTCTTTTTGGCTTCTATCGTCACGTTGTTTGCTTCAAGGTAAAAGCTTAACCTATCTAGGTAATCCTGAATGATTTCATCATTCGAATCAAATTCTTTTATTTGGCCATACAGCGCCATTATTCTAGAAATACTTAGCCAATAAGCTCTAGCAAACCTCTTTTTTGCGTAAGTAGGTGCTCTTTCTAGTAGATTATTTATCCTTCGTCGCCAATGTGATAGATTAGAATCACTGACGAGAAGCCACATTGGTTGTTAACAGTAGTTTATTCACACCATGAGGAAAGAGAGAGAGGGCGGAAGTGACGAGACACTTATAGAGTCCTTTCATATGACGAAACTACTTAAACTCTAAACGCAAACGGTATTACTAACAGTATTTTTATTTAGAAATTTCGGCCACATATTTATATTATCCACGAAACTGTCAATAACTGTATAAGGATCTTCAATTCCTAAGAGTTCAAGTTTTTTAACGTATTTTTCCTTTTCCGCGGCGCGATTCTTTACATACGGTGAACACGTCCAGCGCTGGTGAACACGTCCAGCGCGGGCGAACAGCTGATTGTGTTTACGTCTGGTGTACACCACTGTGGCGGCGGACGCAGGTATCACGTGATTCAGGTCACGTGTTTGCAAGGACTCTATATACATAACATGTAAGGGACATCACTCAAGATAACAATATAAATATAATACTAATACAGAAGAGTGAGTTCCCTTGACCTCACAATTATCTCAATCTATTACAAACAGATTCTGATATGAATCACTGAAAAGGACCGCATTGGTTCAATTTTTGGTTTATTGCACGGCTAAATATTCACGGGCGGCCACTTTCACAACGTATAGGCTACCATGACTATGTTCACGAAGACAGACGAATAGTTCTACAGTTCACAACATGACGAAGACTGATCTAAAACTATTTCCACGCAACAAGATCATCTCTCTCAAACGTCACATCCTTACGTATTTTGTCACATTTTCACAATCTTTTATTAATATAAATCATTCCACGACACGCATACTCTCGTACCCACGCGGTGCACTAAAATACAAATCACAACATATCCCTCTCCCCTCCCCAGCTGGTAATATCTATAAGAACTATCTTATTATCAGCTACAAAAACTAAAACTTTGCTTACAATTAAGGTTACAAAAAAGATTACAACCATAACAAATGCAGCTAATACAAAAAATACAATGTTCATCTATTAAATTCATCAGTGAGCATAGATTTAAAGTTAAAACTCATCAACGAATTCCATAAACCAGGATTTGCGAAAAATGTGTAGTGTAATAGGGCGATGTTTCGCCTAGTCAAGGGAAACAACTCATAAACATTTTCAACACAATGAGCCTAGTGTGGTTATATCCCCTTTAAAAAAACACGATACTTTTTTTGAATTGGAAAAATGTTCAGTTATTTTCCTTTCATCTTGCTCCTGGTTAGGTCATTCCTTTTTACTGCTTTTTAATTGCCGATATCAAGGTTTTGGTAGGAAACTGGAAACTAAAAAATCATTTATAAATCAAATACAAATTTAGAGCTATTTATCATTGATAAAATGCATAACATAGTTTTATTTAAAAATTAGGGATCGTCAGAAATTTAATAATTATTTAAACACTATTTTACCTCTAAAGTTTGTTGCTTGAAACACGTCTGTAATGAATGGAATTGCAAGCTTATTTGTGGTAAGAGTGATTGCTCTTAAAGGACTCGTTTTTTTAGCAGCATCACTGGCAAATTCACAGACATGTTGAGCAAATAAGCTAGCAACTGTTGGGTCAAGCACACTTTTGTTATGGGTTTCTGAAATTTGTGTAAAATAAATAGCTAATAAATGAAACTTTAAAGAATTTCGTATTTCAAAGAAGTAAATATCTTATGTTAACTATAATAGTATTGTTGTTAGTTAAATAATTTTATAAAGGATTAAGTATTAATTAGGGATGACTTATTGCTTTAAGAAGAAATCTTTAACTATTGTGAGTTACAATTTTACCTGTAGGGTTAGAATGGAAGTTGCTGGTGAAAACTATAGATTTTACTTTTTCCTTTATTATATTCACTGCTTGAGTCAGGTTTTTAAAGGCTTCTGTTAAGGAAATCTGATTTACATCATCAACTACTAGCCGAAACACAAAACTTGATCTCTTTAATTTTAGGGATTGTACATTTTTTATCTTTTCACCCATGTCAAGTATAAATAGATTTGCTGAGTGGTAGTCGCTGTGTTCACTAAATAAAACATGAGGATCACCCAATGTTATGATCAAATCTGGTTTAAAATCAAATGCATGTTTATAGCTAACACCCAGATTTACATTCAGTATCTTAAATGAATACTCTAATTCATCTTTATCTTGCTTTGTGTACAATGAATATTTTGAATTGTCTAATCCTTTATTCTGGCATGAACAAATCTTTTCATTTGTAACTGTTATTGGTAACTGCACATCACTTCCAGCTTCAGACTTTCTTGCTGTGAATAAGTATGAAAAGTATTAACATAAAGATGAATGACATCATAAGCCTAAAATTGAAACTGAAAATCAAATAGAATTTAAAGTGTTAAGGTGAAAATAAAAATTTCAAATGAAAAAATAATTTTTGTAACAACTGAAGTTAGTCAAATTTTAAAGCAACAAACAGAATTAACATATTTTTCAAAACTTTATATTTCATTAACTTTAGAAATATATTTACATTTTTATTTGGGATGGTGTGTTTGAGTATGCTACATATTTATTGTTCAAAAGTCTTTGGTTTAATGTTTAGTATCCTAAGAGTACATAGGATATTCTTAAATCAAACTAGCAATGATTAGTATCTGATAATAATCTTGGAAGATCAAGACAGCTGGACTGGGTACTGACACAACACAAGCACTATAAGGGAGAGCATTACTCTATCCATCAAATAAATTTTGTTTTGTGTTTTTGTAATCTATAAGCACATCTATGTAAAATTTAGAATGTGGACTTCCACACTGAGCTTAGCCCTACCCTTCCCCTATAATACGCCCCTACAAAAGCTAACTAATGTTGGACCCCTCCCCACATACTCCAGTCCATGCAGACATTATATGTAGTATGAAACAATAAGGCCAATAATTAATTGTGTAGATTGATTTTACAGAGCCCAAGGTAAAACAAACTATTGTGCCGATTCACCCATTTTCTTACATGATTATAGAGCAGCGGATCTTAACCTTTGTAAAGGTATTGAGACCCGTCAGTTTCATATGCGCATTTACTGAACATTTCTTAGTAGTTCCATCATCCGCAGAGTTTCTTCCAGGCATCTCTTCGAGGGGCAAAGCCCCCCCCCCCCCCCGAAAAAATTCTACCGCCCACCCCCGGACGAAATGAAATTTATATAATTTATATAGAAAATATATACTTTTAACAGTGTCCGCCCTCCCCCCCCCCCCCGAAGAAAGTCTACCACCCCCCCCCCCCCCGAAAATTTCAAGTGCCCCTCCCCCCCCCCCCGGAGAAAAAAGTCTGGAAGAAACACTGATCATCCGCACTGACACAATCTGATAGTGAATAATAAAAGTTGGATGTGTCTTTACCTCCGCCGAACCAGTGATACCAACTCCCGAACCTGTGGGGTTTTGAGTGAACCTATAAAATGAATAAATGTTATTTAATTTTAAAAATGGCATAACACTGGAGTTAAGTATATTAGTAATAGCCTGTTAGGGGGTCGTCCATAAATGACGTCACACTCGTAGGGGGGAGGGAGGGGGTCCGTAATTTTGTGACGGTGTGTGATGAGGGAAGGGGGGGGGGGGGGTTCAGATGGTGCGAGGTCAGCCCTTTGCATTATAAAAAAGCAATGTTAGAAAACGAATTTTAGACGTAATTTTGGGTTTTAGAAAACTATTTTAATAAATTGCAATAGGAATTGATTAAAATACTCTATTTTGACAGAGTTCAGACATGATTTTGGAAAAATATCGATGTTTTATAAAAAAAATTCAACTGCAATTTTGTAGGCTGAGGTGTGACGTCATTTTAGGGGGGGGGGGGGGGGGGGATCTGGCTTTTTGTGACGATGTGTGACGGAGTGGAGGGGGGGGGGGGTAACAATCCTCAAAAAAGCGTGACGTCATGAATCGTTGACGCCTTATAGATAATACAATTCCTTACGGCTTGTTCTAGTTACTTTAACCTATAGTATATGCGCAAAACAGAAATACATCTAGGAAACTGCACTTCCGTCATAAAGAAACTACCTTTATTCTTTTTAATACCAGAACCACATCTTACCATATAAGACTGAGAATTGGGTGATGATGAAACTCTTTCACTGTTTGGATGTTTTTTTGATAGGACACTTTTGTCTTCTTCTGCTTTATGTGCTGCCTTGCCAATTTTATCAGTATGTGAGCTAAAAATATCACCATTCTGCTTTCCTCTTTTATCTTGCTTGGGCAAGTTTTCTCTTGAAACTTGTGAAGCTTGACTTTGCTTTTTCATGTAAGCAACAGCAAAATTTAAATCTCCTTCAAAGAACTTACATTTTTTCTCCGTATGCCATTGTTTTGTGAAACATTTTTTAATAGAATCAATCATGGCATCATTTATATCAACAAAATGAATTTCTTTCAAAGCTGTCAAGTTCATATGTTGTACGAGGGCATCATAATTTTTAACAGCATGCATATAAGCTTCAGCACATAGATCTTGTGGGACTCTAAATATAGCTGTGGGTGCAAAAAAGATTAAGAGGGTAGGCGCCTGAAAAAAAAGTGGACATTTTTTTTTAAAAAAGCCTTTCTTATTTATTTGTGTATATCTAAGTTAGGGTACTTAAGGGAACATTTTTGCATACATCAGGAACTCTTCTGAAAATATGGTTGCCATGGCAACGGCAGCCAACTTGGAAAAAACGATCTTTTGTGGAGTTCTAAAATTTCATAACGTAGCATATATAACGCTTCTATAATCATTTCCTGTACTAACACCAATAGAGTCAGCTCAGTGGCGTAGCGAGGTCGGGTGTCAACGGAGCGGCAATTAATGGTGTGGTGTCAGCCCCTTCCCGGGGACAAACTTTCAATTTTCGATTTGCACCCCCCCCCCTATCCTCAAACTTTCGCTTTGCACCCCCCCCCCACCCTCAAACTTTCGATTTGCACCTCTTAAAAGACTATTTAACACTCGAATTAATCACTTAATTATCATTTTTCTCCATAGTCTATCGCACTGTTTAAAACGAACGTAGGTTCCATAGCGCTCACGGAAAAACAGGAGGCACCTAATAGGACTCTGTCGGCGGGCCGCCCATGCGAAATTCAAATTTGTTGTTGTTGCAGAAACCTCCTCATATTCTCAACAACTTCCCAAAGTTTCATGGCGATCGGATGAAAGGTGTAATAATGCATAACAGACAACCGTCTCTGCGGGAATAGAAGAAAGTCTAACGAAATATATAAGAAGGGTTTCATCTATGCGTTAACAATCATATGTTTTTAGAGGCGTGGCCTTGTTTTCTAAAACTAAGTTATTTGAATGTAAACAATGCCAGCGCTTGGATTATAATTATCGGGACACGGGTTTATCTACACTACTGCACGAAAACCTCGAATGTACGTTAATCACTCAGCGAAATAATGAGATAGAACACACTTCGGTGACCGTCCATATGTCAGGGACGTAAAGGGGCGCTCTCGAAAGCCGCCAATTACACTACCGCTGAAGCGCCGCGTACGGCCCCTGACTACTTAATACTAACATAGTCGTCATATTGCTCGTAGGATAACTCAGAGTGCCAAATAGCATCCTGTTAACAATGATGCAGATTGTGTCGTTCGCTAAAGTGACACAAATCAACAGGATTTTTTTAACACATAAAAAAAAATATTTGACGTGTTATAAACATACGTGTGACTGATGCAATTTGTTAGCGTTACTAATGGTGTATTATTAGATGCTCGATCTCAATTTCTGATTGGATCTTCTAAAAATAGATGCTAATTGCATCATTCGCAAAGTGACGAAACTGTTTGGTTTTTTTTACAGACAAAAAGAAGCATTCCAGTTAAAAATCTAACCTTGGTAAATTTTTCTGATTATTAAAAAAAAACGTATACTTGGCCATCAGCGGCCCACGTGAGCCTTTGTTCGCCGAAACTGAAATTTTTTTTCGCAGCCAAATCACACCCTACCAGGGCGCCGGCGAACATGCCTGATTCAATTTAGTGAGCCACTGTAACGCTCTATTTATCCATTTTCTATCACACTGTTTAGACCCAACGTAGTCGCCATAGCGCTCACGGGAAAGACCAGGGCGCCAAATCGCATCCTGCCGGGGGCCGCCCGTGCGAAATTAATTTCACCCCCAGAAACATCGGAAGTATTCATCAACTCCCTAAAGTTTTATGGCACTCAAATAAACGGTGTCGAACCGCATCCGACATTCATTTGTTAAAATATATCTTATATAGAGAAGAATAGCATTCTTCCGTTGCGCGCCCTTTCGAAATTAATTATTTTTTTTACAGAAACCTCCCCTATAGTGTTCTAATCAGTTCCCCAAAGTTTAATGGCGATCGGATGAACGGTGTGCAAACCGCAATCATTTTTTTATATACAGTATATTGAGAAAAACAAATCGCGCCCTGACGGGGCGCCACCCCTGCGAAATTAATGTTATTTTCTCGAAGAAACCTCTCTTGGGGTATCTTAATTTACTCCCCAAAGTTTGATGGCGATCGGATGAATGGTGTCGAACCGCATCTGACTTTTATTCTTTGTATACCGTGTATAGAGAAAAAAACGCACCCTCCCGTTGCGCCGCCCTGGCGAAATTAAAAAAAAAGATATTTTACAGAAACCTCACCTGGAGTGTTCTAATTAACACCCCAAAGTTTCATGGCGAGCGGATAAACGGTGTCAAACGGCAATCGACTTAATGTAGAAAAAAATCGCACCTTCCGGGGCGCCGCCCTTGTGAAATTAAAAAGGATTTTTTTAATAGGTGTGAAACCGCAATCGATTTTTATTTTTATATAACGTATATAGAGAAAAAACAAATCGCGCCCTACGGGGGCGCCACCCTTGCGAATTTGAAATTTTTTTTTCGCAGAAACCTCCCCAGGAATATTCTCAACACCTTCCCAAAGTTTCACGGTGATGTGATGAGAGGTGTAATAATGCATAAAACACAGACAAACAGACACACGCACACACACAAACACACACCCACACTCACATATATATATATATATATATATATATATATATATATATATATATATATATATATATATATGTATATATATATGGTAATCCATCGTTTTGGGTACGTAAAATCGCCCGCGGCTATTAATGTACGAAAACGTTACCTCATTGTCAAGGCTGTAATAGAAGTATATTGTGATATGTTTATGTCAAATATTATAGATAAATGGATAATAAACCTAAATCAATGGCTAAATATATCAATATAGGCCAGAAATTAACTTTAAACAGCAGTGTCTGCAAGCAAGATTTGCTATATAAACAGCAGCCATTTGTAAAATAGAGTGACTTCCGCCTGAATCTTGCGCTTTAAGTCTATAAAAATAAAACTTTTACAAGATGGCTGCTATAGTAAATGAGCAGGGTTGCATCTGTTGGAAACATCGCTAGTCTTCATTTATTACTGAAAAGTTTTAATTCAATTGTTTAAAAACAGGTACATAAATGAAACAAGGAACCATTTTTGTATTTTTAAAACATAAATCCTCCTCAAAATGTGAAATAATTATTAAAATGTAAGGAGTCACCTGTTTTTCACATTACTAGTCGCGGGCGATTTTACGTACCCAAAACGATAGATTACCATATATATATATATATATATATATATATATATATATATATATATATATATATATATATATATATATATATATATATATATATATATATATATATATATATATATATATATATATAATAGTCACCTGCACCAATAGGTGGTAAAGCTATAGTTGACATTTCCCTGTTTGTGGCCTCCAGTAGGCAGGTAGATTATGTTGTACAGCTTATTTCAATCATTATTTGACAGTAGCAATCAATTTATAGTATCTAAGGACTTTATAGTAAACAAAACAGAAACTGGGTGTTATAAAATAAAATAGTCACCTGCACTTATAGGTGGTAAAGCTATAGTTGACATTTCCCTGTTTGTGGCCTCCAGTAGGCAAGTGAGAACTGTTCTTCTCAGATCATCTGTGCACTTGTTCTTATCCACATAATCATCCCACTTTGGACCAACAGCATGTATGACATGTTTGGCTGGCAGGTCTCCACCAGTTGATACAAACACTCCAGTGACTTGAACAGACTTATATTCTTCTATATACCTATCACATTCATCTTGCAGCCGGGAACCTGCAGCTTTTGAAATGACAATGGCCACCCCACCTCCATGTCTTAAATATCTGTTTGCATCATTTACAATACAGTCAACTCTAAGTTTAGTGATGTCTGCTTTGTGTACAGAGATTTCGAATCCAGTGCAGCCAATATATAAAGTAGTATCATTTAAAGAATATATATTTCTTTTTCCTATTATTATTTCATTAGTTGTGCCTTTGACAGGAAATGGATTTTTCTGTCTAGTATTCCCAGTTGTTTGTTTTGTCAAATCTTTGGCTCTTGCCCCTCCATAAGATGGAGCCCCAAGAGTGGAGGAATGATCTTCAGTGTCTTTGTCATCTTGCCATGGGGTATTCATCTCTTCATTTCCTATTTTCGTATGTAATTTTCTCTGAATAGCCTTGATCTTAGCATTGGGTCCTACCAACACCATTCTCTCTTTTATTCTGATGATTTTTGTATCTTCTGAGAGTAAAACAGAAATAGTATCACTAATTTCTTGCTTTATTGGTACTATCTTTAAATCCTTGATTTTCACAAGTAATTTTTCTCCCTTCACATCCCCTGTTCCAATCAGAAATTCATAATCTTCAACATCATAAAAAAAAGAAGAGTACTCTGTTTCATAAAAGTAAACTTCAGCAGCTTCAAAATCCAGTTGCTTCATTTTAAAGACAGTAATTTCATCGTCCTCATCCCCTGATTCGCTATTGGTTCCAAGTACTTGCTTCTTGTCTTTTGTATTGTTTTGAAATGTGGTTTTAACTGGAAAGGAACCATTAAAATTAGAATTCTTTCCATTTTTTTAAGGTTTTATATTGATATTTTTGTGATAAGCTTTTGTCAAAATATTGGCCAATAATTGGAAATTTTCTTGCATTGGAAAGTTAACACTTTCTATTACTTTAGGGTTTTTATCATCACACTGGAAATTTAGATCTCAAACTTGATGTTTGTAATTTTCATCAAACTTGATCTCTTCTCTTAATACAATTTGAAACTTCTCAATCTAAAAATGTAGAAATAAGAAAAAGTAAATAAATAATTGTCATATTAACATATACATGATGCGAAGAAAGATAGATGATTAAGGTATAGAACTACTATGGTGATGTTTCTCAAATCAGTCATAAGTATTAGATTTAGGTTGTGTCAGAACTGCAGATGAATTAAACTTAAAACACATCTTGGACTGAAATATCAAAGATAATATCAGCAATGTATTTAATTTTGTTAACACATTTGAATATGTATAAGCAAAATAATTCTAAGCAATAGGCCCCTATATGATGACACATAAACATAGCTCAATAAGCAATTGCACATCTTGGACCAGTCTGGAAATCTGCACATATATATAACAAAATCAAAAGCTGTATTTTCAAATTAAAGTCCTACTTTAAAATGGATCCAAAACAAGAAATAAATAAACCGATAGTGATCTCCCCTAAACTTTTTCGAATATTTTTACATAACACTAAGGGAGATGGCAAATCGGGATATAGACATGATTTTTAATCAATTTTTTAATTAAAAAAAAATATAATAAAATCTCGTAGAAAAAAATTGCGCACCAGGTGAACGCCAAACAATCTGTGTATAATAGTGCGGAATATTATAAGTACTTTATAAATCAGATGCTTTTTTTGAGAAATCGCAAATAGCGTAAATTACTACTTCCGGTCAAAGAAAATTACTCAAAATTAGAAGGCAGAAAATTAGATATTTTACTTATTTGTGAAATTTCATTTATCTATCTGAATTAGTACTCAAGCTATTGGCGTTTGAAAAATCAAAAGTAGAATAAGTGCCTCTTTCGGTTACCGGAAATCGCTGAAAAGTTGATACAGAACTACAAATTTGATATAGTACTTATATATGAAATTTCATCAACCTAGCTGTAACAGTACTCAAGTTATCGTGTTCACAGACACACATACATACACACACACACACAGACATACGGACAGAATTGCAGAAATCAGTTTTTTTCCGACCCGATTACGCATAAAACGCCTAAATTTTATTAATCTGGATTTATTATTTTTGCCCGATTAAAATAAGTCCCCTATATGCCTACTCCGTATATGATGAAGTACTGAGGTGTAAAACGGTGAAAACTGTCAAAATTTCATGTGATTTTTGTGCACGATTACAATACTTCCTCTATACTCTGTATACGAGAAAGTAAAAATACAAAAACAGAATCCAGAATTTTATCAGCAGATTGCTAAGAATCGTATTAAAATTTTTTACTGACATGCAAAAGTAGTAAACTCAATACTGTGGGCTACTCGGAAGATAGAGAGCGTTAGAAATACAAATCATAAATATGGTAATGGAAGGAGTTGGGAAAAACAAAATGACTGGCAAGTGTACTGGAGAATGATCAGCTTAGACAGAGGCCCTAAGTTTGACGAGGAAATCACAGACAAAAATTGTGATGATAGCTCAGTTGAAAGGACAGATTCTTACTGAAAATATAACATGCCTATGTTGTAAAAAAATACATAATTTAAGTTTTTTGTTTTGTTTTTTTTTTGTTTAGAAGTGAGAGTGTTTGTCACATTTGTGAGCAGGGCCAATTAGGAGAATGTTGGAGGAAGGTTTAGTAAGTGTAGTCTAGGTTGTTAAAACGTAAGTATTCATAAAAAGTGTTTAATTTCTGTTTGGTTTATGACATAATGTGCAGATATTGTTTTTGAAATTCTTTTTGTCTATGTTATTCTATAGTGTGTGATGTATGATTTATATAGAAAATATATTTTGTATCCGTGTCTGCTCCTCTCCAGAAGTTTTGAGTCCACCCCCCCCCCCCCCCAGCACACCCCTTCGGTGATGACACTAAGTACATTACTTTCAAATATTCGAAATATGGTTCTTAGGCTTATCTTTCCTGTTTTCTATTTCTTATACCTCTTTGAAGCTAGGTCTCCATCATCTGTGACTCCAGTTCCCAAATAGATGAATTCCTCCACTTCCCACATTTATTTGGTTTCAATGTTCAAAATATGTTTTTCAAACCCTGTTGCGTCCAAAGGTGCTTTATAAATCAAGTTCTGGTGTGTTTTGTGTAGAGAAGGTGGGCAGAGTTTCGTCCAGACATCTCTTTTGAAGGGGGGGGGCGAAGAAATTCTACCGCCCCCTCCCCCCCCCCCCCCGAACGAAATGGAATTTATATAGAAAACATATACTTTTACCAGTGTCCGCCCCCCCCCCCCCCCCTCGGAAAATGTTGAACGAAAATATCAAGTGCCCCCCCCCCCCCGGGAGAATAAAATGTCTGGAAGAAACACTAACGGCGGGGCCCCTGAGTCCATCTAGTTATTTGCATGTTGGCTTTACACAATTAGAAAACTTTGGCCAACAAGCCCTGATGTGTTTTGGTTGGGCATCACATATTTACCCAGTAACGATTGGCCTTGGTTCGCGACGATGGGCCTTCCTGAGTCCATCTAGCTCTGATACTGTTATCAGTTTTTACTGTTATCAGTTTTTACTGTTATCAGTTTTTACTTGTTTTGTATTTTTAAAGTTGTGTAGTGTTAAAATCATCTCTAATTTTGACTGTACTTGAACAAAGACCGTGAACCAAAGGTTTAGCATTGAATTGCGGTAATTTTAGACATGAAAAATGTAACTCTTAAATAAGACAAATGCATACGTGGCCATTTTGTCTTGTGCTTTAATGAAGAGAAATATTTCAATATTTTGTCGGAACTCACATAAGGGTAGTCTGACGTTGAAAATAAAACTGACTCTGAAGCCATTGTCGCGGGTTATATTGATGGGAGCCATGTAACAGAGAGCTTTATTAATGTGCTCCTTTATCAAAAGCCCTCAGCAGTAGCGTACGCAGGGGGGGGGGGGAGGGGGAGCAGGGGAGCGGCCGCTCCCCCTCTGGCCATTTTTAGCAAAGTAGCGCCTTTTTGGAAACTTTTTAAACTCAAAGTTTTAAACATTGATATTTGTTAAAAAATTATCTTTGGTCGGCACATCTATGCAAATCACAAGATTTATTTCATGCAGCAATTAATAGACTAGTAGTGTCAACGTTTACATCACGTATTAACAGCTGCATCAGTTTGTCATTCTAAAAATAACCATTACGATGCGTTGCAATGTTTAAAAAACCTCTACGGGTAGTACCACTTGGCAAGAGGGTTGTTAAGTTTAAGGCAACTGTATAATGTATTTGCTTACGAATAATTGAATTAGAAAATGTTACATATAAAACTTCAAACATAATTACTTTATATATACAGTTTAAATCGTATATTTTTTAAATTACAATACAGAAACAAATACAACTAATGTGGCACCTCTATATAAATTAACTTATGGGCGAACTGCGTAGCGGTGGGGAAATTTTGACAAGGTCAACAACGTCATCACGATGAAGTAGTAGTATTATGACAGTTTGATTACGATTACAAATTATATGAAACAGTATTAACTTTCTATTAGTTATTATTTTAGTTTACTAGATCTAGATCTATATTATATTTGAAAAATGCTATATTTTGTATTAAAAAAACAACAACTCAATTTAAACTAACACTGATCGCACAGTTAATTATCCGCTACTTATTTAAATCTATTTTTGAATCAGTATACATGCGTAATTGAATATGTATACATATTCAATTACGCATAAATGACGTCACACTCGTAGGGGGGAGGGGAAGGGTCCGTAATTTTGTGACCGTGTGTGATGAGGGGGAGGGGGGGGGGGGGGTGTTCAGATGGTGCGACGTCACACTTTTGCATTATAAAAAAAGCAATGTTAGAAAACGAATTATAGACGTTATTTTGTGTTTTAGAAAACTGTTTTAATAAATTGTAATAACAGTTTATTAAAATACTCTATTTTGACAGAGTTCAGACAAGATTTTGGAAAAATATAGCTGTTCAAAAAAAATTCAACTGTAATTTTGAGGGGGGTTGCAGGCTGAGGTGTGACGTCATTTTAGGGGGGGGGGTGTCTGGCTTTTTGTGACGATGTGTGAGGAGGGGTGGGGGGAGGTAAAAATCGTCAAAAGAAGCGTGTCGTCATTTATGGATTACCCCTTTGTTTAGAAAAGTCATCTAAAAACTGGCGCTATGTTCACTCCGAGTTGGTTATCACCCCCACCTCACCACCACAATTGTGTAGAGCGACATTAATGTCACACCTAGATATATGCTGGGTTGGATAATTGACCTAAAGTGACCGGACAATGGTGAATGAAGTTGAACCCCCTCCCCCCCCCTCAACCAACCCCGACGTCTGTTAAGGACATTTGGGAAAACGCCTAATGATGTACCAAAGTACCATGCCGCCAGAATCATAGCTTTTGAAACGTAAATGTCTGTGAGTATTGTTTTTGCAACTACCAGTGAAAGGTGTGAGCAAATACAGTGATCTAACCCAGGGGTCGGCAACCTGCGGCTCGCGAGCCGCATGCGGCTCTTTTGATGTTGAGATGCGGCTCTTCAGCTCCATGCACAAATATTAATAATTATTTTATTTTGTTTTCAAAACTCATAAAAATATTGTTCTGCGACACTCGGTAATGAACAATAAAATATAATAAACATAAACAATAAACACTCGCTATTCTATTAAAATATTTAGTTACGCCCTATTTCAATGTACTTCTAATAAGCTTGTCTATCCCAAATTGAAAAATTCAACTTCATGGTGAAGATCACAAAGAAACTAAACGAGCTAAATGTAAAACTGCATGGAAATGAAAACCCAGCCTATGCCTTGCTTGAAGAAGATGGTTGTTTCGAAAAAAAAAAATTCATTTTGTTGAAGACACGGAGAGCGGTAAATTATTTTATTTCGAAAAATCTTAAAAAAAAATATGATAAAACCAACGCTACTGTTAACATGAATCACTTCAGCATTACTATAAACAAAATGAAGGATGGGTTCACTGAGAGATTTAAGCAATTCAAAAGAAATGCAAGCACTCTGACGTTCATAGTAG